TCTCAAACTGATCTCTCCAGTTTACGGATGTTGGAGGCCACTCGTCGCTCCATCTGGGACCCTCAAACGCTGCAGAACTTTTTTCTGTCCCCCCTTTCCCAGATCTGTGCTCGAATACACGTCCTGTCTCTGACGGTCTAAAGACACCACTTCTTTGACTCTCATGCTTGGTTTGGTGCCGTGACCCTGCACTGTCAACCCTGTGGGATTAGGTATACGAACGGTGTCTCGCCTTTCAAATCATGTCAATCAGCATGAATCTTGCCTACAGGTGGACTCCAATCAAGTTGTAGAAACAGGATGACAGCTTCAAAGCAGCGAGTGGGCAGCTAATTGTTGAGTTTCAATGGCAACAGGCTGTAAATACGCTTTTGCCCTTACTTGTACCACTAGTGCGATTTTTTCCATTTGTGTCTTCTTTAATAAAATTCTTGAGAAAGAATTAAACACAACACAGTTTTCACATTGTCATTATGGGGTATTGTGTGTAGAATTTTGAGGAAAAAAAACTTTTTTCATTTAATCCCCATTTTGGCAATTAAGGTGCTAACCATACAGAAATGTGGAAAAACCTGAAGCCGCGCTGTGAATACTCCTTCCGCGGATGCACTATACCTCACTTTCAGTGATTGATCACAGCTAAAAAAAACATACCCTATTATATTCCGTTTCTGACAATAGACTCCTCATCACATTTGTACGCCTGGAGGTAACGGCTGCCTCAATTAATGCGAAATTTGACTCATGTTTACGATTTTTGGGGCCAAACGATCTCAAAACTAATAAAATCGCAAACGCATTTTCTTTTTTCATTTCTCTGTCTGTGGCACACGTTCGTATACCAGTCGTGCCGTATTTCGCGCATCGCGTTACTCTTTCGTCGCTCCCCAACCAGCTGCCACTCTGCACACGAGTCATGCGTCCGGGTATACTTCGCCGTTCCCCGTCGACCTGTCGCACCCCGACAATGTGAAGTGCCACGGGACGACGTAACGGCAGGACTCTTCCTAGACCTGGCCGTCCAGCCAAACTGAGTGATCGGGGGAGAAAGGCCTTAGTCAAGATAGGTGACCAAGAACCCGATGGTCACTCTGACAGAGGTCCAGTGCCTTCTCTGCAGCATTCCACCAATCAAGTGGCCAGACAGATGCCACTCCTCAGTAAAAGGCACATGACTGCCCGCCTGGAGTTTGCCAAAAAACACATGAAGGACTCCCAGACTATGAGAAAGAAGATTCTCTGGTCTGATGAGACAAAGATTGAACTCTTTGGCCTGAATGCCAAGCGTCATGTCTGGAGGAAACCAGGCACCGCTCATCATCTGGCCAAAACCATCCCTACAGTGAAGCATGGTGGTAGCAGCATCACACTGTGGGGAGGTTTTTCAGCGGCAGGAACTGGGAGACTAGTCAGGATCGAGGGAAAGATGAACGCAGCAATGTAAAGAGACATCCTTGATAATATCCTGCTCCAGAGGGCTCTGGACATCAGAATGGGGCAACAGTTCATCTTCCAACAGGACAACGGCCCTAAGCACACAGCCAAGATAAGAAAGGAGGGGCTTCGGGACAACTCTATGGATGTCCTTGAGTGGCCCAGCCAGAGCCCAGACTTGAACCCTATTGAACATCTCTGTAGAGATCTGAAAATGGCTGTGCACCGACGCTCCCTATCCAACCTGATGGAGCTTGAGAGATACTGCAAAGAAGAATGGGAGAAACTGCCCAAAAATAGTTTTGCAAGTTTGTAGCATCGTACTCAAAGACTTGAGGCTGTAATTGCTGCCAAAGGTGCTTCGACAAAATATTGAGCAAAGGCTGTTAAAACTTATGTTACTTACTCATGTTATATTTTTTCACGTTGTCATTACGGGTTATTGTGTGTGGAATTTAACCCATTATGGAATAAGGCTGTAACATAACAAAATGTGGAAAAAGTGAAGCGCTGTGAATACTTTCCGGATGCACTGTACGAATCATTGGGTTTTTGTTACCTTAGAATGAGCTGTTTATATCTACAGAGGGAGCGGGTAGCCTTCCATGGCGTTCACTATGTTGAACTGCCATGTTACTACAGCAGCCCAGAAGGGACAAACCAAACACTGGCTGTAATTGGGCCTTTGGCCTTTTTTGTGATTTTTTTTTTTAGGCCACTGTAGTTTCTCCTAAACACTTCACAGCCCCTTCTAATTCCCAGCTTATCAAATACAGACACCAGAGGTGTTCAATTAGTCTGCAACTACACTGCTAGATGCCACTAAATCCTACACAAATTACATTTTAATAAACATCCCAATTTAATAATGCACAGTTAACTGAAAGAGGTAAAACCTGACGTACATCAAACGTGTTTTGAAACAGTCTGTGTTCCACTACCAACTAAACTTGTGTTTGCAATAGGAAGTCGCAGAAATGCAAGCTCAGTTTCATTCCATTATGAGCACCAAAACTGAAAACAGTGTCACCTGATCTGCATAAACACAGCCACAGCTCTCCTCAAGACAAGCAGGATGTTTTACTGAACCAGTGAACTAACACACAGGCACAAACAAAAAAAAAAGGCTACTGCAGGAAGAAAATGTTCACCCACTGTTAAACATTGTAAAGTGTCATGTGATTAGAGCTCACCCTGAAGATGGGGATATCTGCCGGTCCGAGAGCATCACTGAGCGGGTCGTCGCCCTCCCCGGCCTGGACGTGAAACAGCAGGTAAGCCACTGCATACACTGTGATGTTAGCTATCACTGTGAACGCATACCTGCACACAAGGGAGAAACTGCGTATTCAGGATCTGCAGATTACCTCGCTGTGTGTACTGTGTGTACAAATGTACCTGTATGCAGTGAGCTCTACTTTGGCGTGCTCACAGGTGACCAGCTCCGGAATGAGAGACAGGTGGGAGATCTGAGTGGCGGCCCAGCCGAACTGAAAGACGATGATGAATGGGGAGAAGTAGGTCAAGCTGGCCCACTGTGGGGTGAGGGTGTCACAGCCCAGGCACTGATTGAAGACGAAGGAAAAGGACAGCAGCACGCTCAGTGTACCTAGAAAACACACACACACACACACACAAGCAAACAGCATGAAAAATGACTTTCAGTGTGCTGTTTGTACTATTCCTTCCCAACTATTCCTTCCCATTCACACAAATGAACAGATGAACTCAATCATATGCATTTTTTTTTTTTTTTTACTTTTCTGTAATTTTTAACCCCATGTAGGCTGAAACAAAAAGCGATTAAATGACCCTTAACGCCTTAATCTTCACTTTATTGTAGACTAATAAATAAACAAATAACATGTCATTTCTGTTGCTAGGGCGTCTTGCGCATCAAAACAATAACAAAAGATGAAGTTTGATGATGTTGTGATGGGATCATGGGATCATGGGAGTTGGTGTCTTCACCACCATTGCTGTTATTGCAGTCAGGAGGTTTCTACAGGGAGCCCAGTTATCCACAGAGGTCTCCTCCTCTCCAAAACAAACTGATTAAAACCGCTAAAAACACTGAATAAAGCAGTTCCACCTTAAAAATCACTGTTTCTCCCACACTGTTGGACAGATAAAGGACGTCCCGGAGGGGCTATGAGC